CCATCTGTGAAACCACCTGTAAACCCCTATGTCCAACCCCCTTCCCTATTCCTGCGCCAGAACGGACGAAAATGGGCGCTTCCGGCCCCATTTTTGTAACATGCCCGCTCCCACCAGTCCACCGGGTGGTTGAAGGGTCACTCCCATCCAACCAGAAGTTCCCTATCAGGAACTGTAGCCTATCCCACCTCCTTAGGAGAGGGATATAGTCCAGGCAGCTCCAGAATGTCTGGCCACGCACCCGCAGGTCCCACTTCCCACGGTCACTCACTACCGTGCACTGGTCCACCAGCCCGCTTTCCCCAACAACTCCTGCTACCAGTATGCTCCCATGAGTGCCAAGTCACTGATAGCCACCAACTGGGTGACTCCCTTAGGGAGTCCCAGTATCCCACGCTACCGGTACGCTCCATTGAGCGCCAAGTCACCGCTAGCCAACTGCTCCCAGCACACCCGCTACTGGCACGCTCCCAGGAGCGCCAAGTCCCCGTTAGCAGACAGCCAGGTGGCTCCCTCAAGGAGCCCATGTCATACTCGCTACCGGTACGCTCCCAGGAGCGCCAAGTTACCGTTGGCCAACCCACAGGTTACACTGCCAGACACTCATCCCATTCCACTCTCCCTCCGATGGCTACGCAGCCACCTCCATTAGTGAGCCGAACGGCTCAGGTTGGGTTCCCCAGAACCCATTCCCATAACAGAGATACTCAGATCAAGGGGTGGATTCAGATCAGGGAAAGGGGTGAGAGAGTTATGGGCTGATGCAGCTACATGCAGTGATATATGTAGTCATATGCTATGTCCCTGACATTCAGATTGGCCCACAAAGATATGCCAATATGGGTCTGATCTGCTAGGAGCCCTAGATGTCAGGTAGAGGGAGGGTGCATGGACACTCCTCCACATTAAAGTCTTGGCAGGTGACTGATAAAAATGGAAGCAGGATTGCATATATAGATGTTACCCAGGGAAATCAATGTTATTAAGTTGCCATCATAGTGTACCTGATATTAATCAGAGACAGCTAGCCATGTGTTCTGCACTTGCTCACTGTCCTTACTCCACATTGGTCACTGCAGGGGCTGTCCTGCTCTGCTCCATATGGCATTATTAAAGAGATACGTTCCCACCACACCACAGCCCCATACCCAACTTCCCAACCCATGGGCAATTACTTTCCAGGCATGCATACACTCACTCACACACACAGCACACCACACTCACACACTGCACTCACACACCACATACCACACCACACTCACACACCACACTCACACACTGCACTCACACACTGCACTCACACCCCACACAGCACTCACACACCACACACACACTCAGCACACTCAGCACTTGCACACACACAGCCCTTACCCAAACAAATGCATGCCTTGCAAGCTCAGCCAACAAACCACTGTCTGTGTCATATCCGTACAATCCTGACCTCCACTCCGGGCTCCCAGAACTCCAAAACTGACTTCCAGAGTCCTACTTCCCTTCCATCACCTTCTCCTTGCCGACTCCCAAGAGGTTATCCCACCTCCGGCTCTGACACCACCTTCGGTCCAACTCTGGAACATTCCAGGTCTGACCTCAACCTCGACACCTCCCAGATGAGCATGCAACACCTATGCTCCCGACTCTGGACCTCCACTCTGGAATCCCATTTGTGTCTCCATCTCTGGAACCTCCGGTCTTAGCTCCGACCTCGGACTTTGACCCCACCTCCACTTATACCCATTGTATTGGTTAGCTCATTCCATTTAATTATGTTTGCCAATATTCCGGAGTTTAACTTCCGAGTTCAGACTTTCCAGACTTACTTCAGACCTTGCAACTATTGCATTGCTCCATTCAATTCTGCTATTCTCCCTCATTCCTATTTGGGCTGCTGCTTCCTTTCTATTCAGTCTGCTAGCCATTCCCCACTCCCATCCTCCTTCCTCCCTCCTTGGGCCTTGGCCCTTCACTCCTCCTTTGGGAAACACCATTGAGTCAAACCCTTGACCCTCGGTGTTGTTCCTCCTTCCAGCTCCCTTTGTCTCCTTTCGGAGTACCCTTGCTCCTTTTGATTCCGGACCCCTCCTTATATACAATGTACTTAGTAACTTGTAACCTCAGTCCAAAATCAACTTGATTTCTGTAAGGGATTACCTTACTTCACTATAATTCCGATTATAGTGATGTGGTTATTTCTTTATTTATTTGTGCCGAGATATGTAAATTACATATATATACCTTGGAGTAGTTGTAAAGGCCTGGTAGCCTTTTACCTCTACCCTGTTGAATATACAGCTCATTAAAGCTTATGTTTAGACGGACCTACTGAGGCCTGAGGTGAACGGGGGAACGGAACGTTACCATGCCCAAAATAGTAAGCAACCTTTCAATTTCCCCCCAAGAGACTTTCCTTTGCTAGATCTGAAATTAGGGACCCCCAGGACAACCAGCAATGGCACAGCACTCCACCTGAGTCGCTGAGGCCAAGGTCCTTCCACACTAAGTCTCCAATTCCACTCCGGAGTTGTCCGAATCTGCCCGATCTATGGGGGCTGTGTAGATATGCTGACATACAAACAATGACATGAGGCAAGGACCTCTGACAAATAAGAAATGACTCGGCTTGTGAGAGAGATAAAAAGGAAGTGATAAATGAGAATGAATGGAATAAATGGCAGAGAACTGCAGTACTCTGACAGTCCGTCTTGGACAATCATCAGGGATTCCTTATAATACTTGTCAGGGACGGTACAAGAGGCAGGGGTAGCAGCCTGGGCGGTGGCAGAGTAACGGGAATGTATGGTGAGTGGCCCTCACTCGGGCTTGCATCCCTGTCTGGCTTCTTAGGCTGAAGCAGTAATGGTTGTTATTAGAATGAAAGGCTAAACTAAACTAAGCTAGACTAAGGTACTTGCCTGAAGCAGTAATGAGAAGAAGGCTACTTCTTCAGTTCTGCTTCAGCTCAGTTTATATACAGGTGGGAACGGGTCATGTGGGGGTGCCACGTCAGCCTGGGCAGAGCCGGGTGATCATGGGTGGCTCCATGGGTAATCCTGAGTGTTAGAGGAGAGAGGTACAAGTGAGGGTGCACAGCGTATCTGGTGGCACAGTACCCACATGGAGTACTCAGCATCAGATGCATCCGTGCTACACAGGTAAGAGGAGAGGTCGTCCATATACAGAAAGAAAGAAAGGAAGAAAGAAAGAAAGAAAGAAAGAGAGAAGAAAGGGAAAGGAAAGAGGAGGAGCGGGAGGGTGCAGCGTGGAGCGGAGTGATGTGCCCTGACAATACTCAAGGAGTCAAGCTTAGGGTTTCTTTTCTACTTGGATCTCTCAGCACTACAGTCCTCTTTCCATTCCTATGTGTACAGGGCTTTTAAACACATGGAATGGCAATAATGTGGAAAAACAAATGAAATATAAAACAAAAGATTGTTGTTACGAGCACCATGTAGACAGTTATGTATGGTTGATAAGTCCAACGGTCGATGTGGAAGTTCAATAAAAGAAAACAGGAGTGATAAGTGGGCCATATCTGCTAATAATTGCCATCCTCCACCAATTTCCATCATCACACCACACTCATCCATCTCCTCCTACCTGTAGCATCTCTTCCCGACCTCTCCATTTGATTCCCCAGGTTTGTAGCTTTCTCCCAATACCAAATTTGTCCCAAATGGTTGAGATTTGACTGAGTGGTGGGCATGAGAATCATGAAATTGGCCCATGCACAGGGTTAGGCATCCTGGAAAGTGTCCATGAGAGTCCCCATGTCAATTGAATCTTCATACACATCCTTTGTGATTTTTCTGAATTTTTCTGAGCACTCCAGAGTGCATTTTGGTTGTTTGTTTACTTCTGTACAGCTTGTGATTTCCATTTTGGGCCAAAAACCAGTTTCGTGATCTCCCAAAGTATGGATCTCAGCTCCACCACATGGGACTTTCAACACTGCCACCCTCATGTGCCTTTTGACATTGTGTGGAACCTTACAGTAAGATGAGAAATTGTCACCACCATTGCTCCACAACAGCTGGGTCAATCTGGATGAAATTTGGGGAATCCATGTTTATCATTTTTCTCTATTTTTTGAGCCCTTGATCGTCTCTCGGTGGTCAGCAGTGCCGAGTGTAGTTTTTGGGCTGAACCAATTCAGTACCAGCACGTTATGCATAATTGTACTCTGTTATAAAATGGAATAAATTGTTTTTATGCTCCATGGGCATTGGGAGGTGATCTTTGCATGCAAGGAACCCATAAGGAATGTAAACTGCAAAAATACCAGCAGTGTAGAGTATAGTAGGTTATCCTGCCTACAGCGCATGTATGTAGCACAGCCACAATATCACTCTTATGTTGATAAGGTTAAAATGCTACATAGAGCCTAAGTTTCCCTCAAAGTTAATAAATATATAGTTTAAATGATTATTATGATTATTATGTATTTATTAACATACAACACTACAAGTGTTGCCGCAATATTTTGTGGCACACACATTGCACGGATGAGATATACATTTGGATCCGATGTTGCGTGGATCCCATGGGGCGGCCATTTCTCATGGGGTGGCCATTCTCACGGGGTGGCCATGGGGGGGGTGGGATTGCACTTCCACACGGTATATTCCCACAAAAAAAAAACTGACCCCTCTGTAAACAACGCCTCGCAAGCTCGGCCAACAATGATGAAACCTAGAAACCTGGTACAAAATTGTTCCTCATTGCAGCTAGAGCTATCTGCCAAACACCCAGCATTTCTTCTCTAGTTGAAGCCACCTCCAGATGTGGTGAGATGAATGATATAAGTCCTGCCTCTATCTGGCTGCTTAGGTTGTCATGGTCAACTGACACAATAACTTCATGAAGTCAATGCCTCCTCCAAGATCCTGGTGCCTGTGAGATGTGGTAAGCTGGATTGTTGAGATAAGCCTAGAAGAAAATACCTGTAAGGCTTCATCCTGAAGCCTCTCAGTGTCGCTTGTATTTGATTCAACCCTTACCATATCCTCTTCCCATACCATGTTACCTCGGATACCATGCACTAGCATGTCAAACCCAAACATATCAATGGGACTTCGACCCCGCTCTCCACGAATAGAAATGATATGATGGTTCCATGACTGGACAAACTGTCCAATGTGTGCATTTAGGGCATTGAGAAAGAGCTTGTGGAGAAGCCAAAGGTGGTTTGGTTGGTCGACATCTAATCCTCCACGCTCTTCTAAAATTGAAAATAATTCAGCCCACCAAGACCCAGCCTGTGTTGTCCAGTCATGCCATATCCTCTCAATCCTAGTATTGTGAACACTCCTGTAGGGATGACAAATTACTTGACTGACTCTAGGGGATATAACTCTATTGTCATACCACCCAAAGATGTAAGACTGACGGCCTCCCCCACGATGATGCTCCATAAAGGCAGCCACTTGGACATTCTCCACACCATGATCACCATGTACATGGGATGGTAGTCCATAGAGATGAACTCCACCCAGGAATACATCAAGCACAGTGTTAGCCCTGTTGTTGTTGCTTGCATGCATTGCAGTGATCATTCGTGAGTAGCCATCAACAAATCCATGGACTACAATTTTCCATCTAATGAGGCCTGTAACCTAGTTTGAATATACCATACCCCTTGATGAAAGTGAAACTTGCCATGCTGGCCATCATGATGCCACAGGTAGTTTGGCCCAGGCACCTTATAACGTCGACGTCTAAGGTGAGTGCGTCGGAATGAGCGGTTGGCAGGGGAGATTCTATGAAGTGCTTGATTGATATGTTCATGAGGAACATTCTCTCCCCTATGACGGAAATGCCCATGGAGCATTGTGATTCCAGCATTTGGGAAATGCTCATGGATAAGCTGAATCTCATGATCCAGTTCTTCATCAGTCCATTGAGAAACATGTACTGTGTATGAGTGGATTTGTGTATAAGTTACCACCCCTGGGCTCCCAGGAACAATAGTGCGCAAGATGGGTGGTTCCATAGGAGGTCGAATTCCATAGGCCACAATTGCCTTTGACACTGTCGAAACTGCTACTCCAAGAAATTGAGCAATATGTGCTGTTGATCGATGATGTACTGCCCAAGTCAGCCACTCAGCATTTATAACGAGTTTTGGGCGTCCTCGGCGACCAGTGTGTAGCTGTGTAACAGGGTGTGGAGTGCCATAGTTTGCAGAATTCTCAGCATCATTTCGACTTTGGGTGAGATCAGCATCCAAGTAAATGAGGTTTGACTGGATGGTATTTGTCTCATTCTGTGTAAAGAGATGCCGATTCTACCAAAACAAAAGACATGTATGATTATGCCAGAGTGATCACAAAAAGATGACCATACCTGCAAAAATGCATGTTGAAACGAATCAAGGGTACTGCTGATTTGATCGATCACAGCAGGGTTGTCATGAGGCAAGACTGTTGCATTGCGAACCATTTCTTCTAACTCAAAGTAGGAAGCATGAAGGTTCTCCATGGCCAAAGGCAGAAGAGGATCCATCTGTCGATAGAACAGCAAAAGACTGAACAGTGAAGAGCACAGCCACAACATACATGTCATGTGATACATTACCCTAAGTTATTGTCTTGTGGAGAGCTTCTGTGTCGATGAGTACTGATGGAGGACCATGGAGGCTAGGAAAGTGGCTTGTAGGGATGCAGTGAGCTGTGAAGAGAAGAGAAGGGAGGTGGAGCGATGCAGGCAGGATAACCTACTATGCTCTACACTGCTAGTATTTTCATGGTTTACATTCCTTAAGGGTTCCTCACATGTGAAGATCACCTACCAATGCCCACAGAGCATTAAAACAATTTATTTCATTTTATAACAGAGTACAATTGCACATAACATGCTGGTACTGAATTGGTTCATCCCAAAAACTACGCTTGGCGCTACTGGCTGCCAAGAGACGATCAGGGGCTCAAAAAATAGAGAAAAATGATAAACATGAATTCCCCAAATTGAATCCAGATTGACCCAGCCATTGTGGAGCAATGGTGGTGACGATTTCTCATCTTACCGCAAGGTTCCACACAATGTTGAAAGGCACATGAGGGTGGCAGTGTCAAAAGTCCCATGTGGTGGAGCCAAGATCTGTACTTCAGGAGATTGCAAAACTGGTTTTCGGCCCAAAATGGAAATCACAGCTGTATCGAAGTAAACAAACAACCAAGGGTATCTCTGCGAGAGATCCTAGGAGCGTCCAGTGCATGGGAAGTCACCTGGTGCACCCGGGTCTGGGCATGTTACATCACAGTCGGGTCAATGGTACATTGATATAAGGAAAGTTGTCCATGTAATGAAAGAAGAGAAGGAAAAGGAAAGAAGGGAAGAAGAAAGGAAGAGGGGAGAAGGGAGGAAGCAGGGCAGGGGGAGGGTAGAGGTACTGGGTGGAGGACAATGGGATCGGGTGGGTCCAGGCCAGGTGGAGCAGGGTCCGGTGGGTGTGCCCTGACAGACAAAGGGATGATGGAAGTGGATTGGCACTGAAGGTCATAGGTTAGAACCTGTGGTACATCCAAAAGGAGATAGGGAGGGCGAAGCCCAGAGGGGCAGGAGGATGAGGTGAAGTGGGGGTGATGACTAACTGGCTAGAATGGAGAGAAGCAGCAGTCCAAATAAGGATGAGGGGGAAACGCAAAAGATACATTACAAGCAGTGAAAGTGCCAAGTATGATCTGTGGAGCTCGAAGGTTGCGGAGCTTATGGAGGTTGCGGAGGTGGGGTTGAAAGTCTGAGGGATGTTGGCAATGGTGTTTACGTAGTATGAGGTCACCAATGCAATGGACTTAGGCCAAGGTGGAGTCAAAGTCCGAGGTCGGGACTAAGATGGGATCTCGGAGCAAAGGTACAGGCAGTGTCCGAGTACAAGGTACAGGATGGCAGCAGAAGGTCATACATTGGCGGAGGTTTGGCAGAAGAGGGGAGGAGGGAGGAGAGTGATGAGAGGAGTGGGGAGTGGAGTGGAGGAGGAATGGTGTCAGGTCCAAAGGTGAGTATTGGAGCGGACGTAGGTAGGGTAGGAGAGGGATAATGGGAGGTGTAGCGAGGAGTGGGAGGAGAGGAGTCACGTCCAAAGGTGGGTATCGGAGCAGACAGAGACAGGGTAGGACTCTGGAGGTGATGAAGATGAGGGTCCAGGAGTCGGATCAGGATCAGGTCCTGGCCAAACAGGCTTTAGACATGTGAGAAGAAGACTTGGGGCAGTCCTTGACCATGTGTCAGGGATGGCTCTGAAGAGGCGGGGGTAACAGGGTAATGCTCATCCCTAGCAGCCCGGATGGCAGCAGGGCAGTGAGACCATATAGTGGGTAGCCCTCACTTGGGCTGGTGTCCCTGTGTGGCTTCTTAGGCTGAAGCAGGAATGTATTGTTATTAAGATGGAAAGCTAAACTAGGTTGAAACACTTGCCTGAAGTAGGAATGAGAAGAAGGCTGCTTCTTCAGTCCTGCTTCAGCTAAGTTTATATACATGTGAAAATGGGTCACATGGAGGTGCCATGTCAACCTTGGATGGAGCCGGGTTGTTGCAGGCAACTCTGTGGTTGATCCCAGGTGTGAGAGAGGAGAGACACAAGTAGGGATGTGTGGCATGGCATGCCCTGACACCATGTGGCCAGACTGTCCACAGAACATGCAAAGTTTCTCATCAAGATGGTGTAAGGGGGCAAGGGATCTACCACCCTAATGAGAAAGAGAGGGGGCCACAGAGTTGGAAATGCTCAGGGGAGGTTCAGATGAAGAGGAAGGGAGGGGGGGGAGAAATGGTCTGGGTGTGATGTGATAAAAAAAGATAAACTTGTAAATCTCACTAATAATCAAACTGAAGGGGAACTCTGCCCCTGTACTATATCTTGAGCCTCTTTGGCTTCATATTTGCCACTCTGGGCACTGGAAACGTCTGCTAGAACTTCATGCCTGTTGGGGATGTTGAAAAACAAGGTTATGCCAGCGAGGGTAGGTTAAGGGAGGTGTAGGTAATATATTGAAATGGGAGGGTGGTGACTGTTGGGGAGATTGCGGGATCTGGGGGCTCCAAGGTTGGAGACAAAGGAGCAGAGGCAATCCAGGATGGCTAGAGGTGGCAGAAGGTGGTGGTGGTGGATGGATATGACATACCTGGCAAGAGCTGTAATTCAAATTTACTCTATCCATGCGAGTCAAACTTGAAACCTGTTTTTTTTATTTTAATTGGATTGTGGTCAGTGTTAAAAGAGACGTTGATTCCAACATCATAAAGTATTCTGAGATTTATTTGGCAATAACAAAGAATTTTAAAATTCCAAAACCAGGGAGCTACAAAACTACACTAGTTGTACAGCTTCCTGGTGCCACATTAGCCCCAGAAGTGTTGTCGCAGAAATGAGCTGCAACGCAAATTCCGTGGCAATTTGCATCCAGATAGTACTGAGGTATGAAAGTCATCTATCTTAGAAGGGAGTCATCATCGGCTGCAACCAGAAAATGAATATAAATGTTTTCCATCATAAAGGAGTGTCAATTGAGGAGAGAGATAGATAAAGGAGTGACAATGTATGATCAGCACCTATTTGAAAGATAATTAAAGGAATATTTGGAAAGAAATGAGGGGAAACAGTTGGAGAATATATATAAGCTAAAAAGGAGAAGAATTTGGGCAACTATCAGATTCCACTACATAGTACCACCCATAGAATCCAGGGAGATAACCATCATTGATAACAGCCAATTATCAACCTCAGCTAATTGATTGCCTGGTGGATTATTGTGAATAATATAAAGTATTGCTGAGGAGTTAATTGCAAGGCTGCCAAAGCATGTCTGGACACGAATTGCCGAGTCTGCCATATTATGGGTTAAACCTTCAATAGAATAATTACCAGTGTCAGAAAACACAATCTATAAAATCAGGAGGGGTGTTAGGTCTATAATAGGGTGGAAGAATTAGCCTACTCTTATTTGCTGGCCACCAAGAAGGGAATCAGAAGAAGTAGCACAGCGATAGAGAAGCTGTGACCTGAACCCAGGGCTATTAAGATGGGATTGTAGATCATCATAGCCAAGTCTGAACAAACGATTGGCAAGTCCAAGGGGGTCATTTCCAGAATCACCAAGTGGCCAACCAGTTCTTCGTAGAAAGCCTTCAATCAAAGAGCTGAAGCTTTGGAATTCAGAATGTTGGCGAAGAAGCCTGACAGCTGTTTGAGGTTCCACAAAACTAAGGGTGGGGGCCAGATCATCAAATGACTGAATGCCCAATGCATCTAGGCTTTCAAGGAGGCCCTCCCACCCATCAGCATAAGCCTTGCAAAGCTTTAAAATATTAGTTAGCATGTATATAATTATTGAGAGACAGTACAGCATACTTTTCCAAAACTAAAGCCATTTGAACAGTGGAGATTCAGCCCAGCACTGAAAGCTACCTCTTCATCATTAGCCTCCATAGCAATTGGACCCCGAACACAGGCAAGGAGCAATTTGTGTGAGAAGACAGCCCGAGCCTCATCACTTGCAATCATAGGTGCTGCTCCTGCTGCCTTCATTTACAGCAACAAAATCAGTATCATCAAACAAGAAATGTGATTGATACTTACATCAATATCCAAATAGGGAACTGCAATTTGCTCAATAGCAGTGAATGAGCCACTGGCTTTGAACTCATTAAGTGCAGCTGCAAGTTTGGGGTGATGCTTGGCCAGAATGCTCTCGGTAAGGAGCCCAGACTTCCCATAACCAAGATGATATAGGACAGATAAACAGCAGAGTTGGTGAGGAAGGCGAGAAAGGTGTACAATTGACAGGGCTATGATGACACCCTGAACAAATGCAAGTTCCTTATGTTGCTGAGTGGAAGGAATACCATCAAAGTAGACTCGAGGAAAGAAGATCAGACGATCATCATATGAGATACAAAGTTGCTCGCCCTCAGGAGCTTGTGAGAAGAGCAATTGACTAAGCTGAAAAATGACCTCATGAACAACACCAATTCCTTGAGTTTTGACTATTTTTAAAATATATATGAGCCTAGCATGCCAAATAAAAACTCCCTTGTAACCCACATCCAAAATGACAATCCTCTGGCAAATTTGTCAAGTGCAATGCGAGAGGTATCATCATTGTAGCAGGAGATGATCTCTGCCTTGAGTTTTTCCACAAGATCTTCCTGTGTTGCAACAGAGATTAAGAATGGGTGTGAGTCTGATGAGTCATCAGGTGCAGGTCCCCTAATGCAGTCAGCAAATTCCGATATTGCTGAGACACTAGGGTAGAATAGTGAAGAATCTGGATTCGAAGAATGATTAATTAATAATCCATTAAAAGTAGAGGCCATACCATCCGAAAGATCAGACAAATCCTAGTTAAATGAAAATGAATTAAATAAGTTTCATCTAACATTAGCCGACAATTGATCGTACCCTATGTGTTTGCACCTCCGAAGCATCCCCAACAGCAATAACCTCACTCTCAAGGCCCTCATTGATCTCATTATCCACTGTACTGACTGAACTTGTCTCATCCTATTGAATATTGATAAGCCATAGACATCATAACTGCTGTTGGCATCAAACTTGCCTTGTCATTCTGCTCGTTGGTGTGGATATGGATAAGGTGGGCCTGAGAAGCAGCCTGAATACGACATATGTTGCAGAGTGTCACATCAGACATGGCTGTATCATTGCCTCCGAGCCTGTGTAACAAATTGGGCCGATCGGTTCCAAGCCCTCGGTAGAGGCGAACCCCACTGCAAAAATGAATCTGGATCGGTGTGGATAAACCATCATTCAAGATAGTCTGGATCTCATCTGGAAGAGGTCCTCCAAGATGGTCGAGATATGGGGCTAATTAAAAGGTATTAAGTTAATGATAATTTAGATGAAAATGAAACTGCCACCAACCAAGTCGCAGCACATGAATTCCATCCTGTTTCTTCGAAAAGGCACTCACTGCCTTGAACCCTTCTACCTCATAAAATATATGCTCCAGAGTGTCAGTTGCAGTGAGATGGTATTCAGATAATCGATGCGAAGGAATATTGAATGTGTTCATGACCCTCCCTGCCTGACGAAGCTGGAGGAGTGAAAATGAGGGAGCACTAGGATCATAGTGTCAGGGACAGCTCCGAAAGCGGCGAGGTCCCGGCATGCGGGACTCGGTGGGACAGATAACGGCTATGCATAGCGGCGATCCCGTCGCGGGGTGAGCGTCCCCGACCACTTAGTCTGAAGTGGAAATGTGAGTCATCATTAAAGGGGAAGGCTACACTACTTGCCTGAAGTGGAAATGTGAGAAGAAGGCTACTTCTTCGGTTCCCACTCCAGCTGTTATTATATACATGCGGGAATGATCACGTGGGGTGCGCCACGTCACCCTTGCACACAGCCACGGCTCTCCGGGTGCTTCCGCAGAAGATCCCGAGAGGGCCCGCTGAGGGTGCAAGGCGAGCGTGGCAGCGGTGGCGGCGGTGTAGGGATGTAAGATACAGGAGGGGAGATGGGCGCGTGCGCCGATGATACATTGAGCAGAGAGAAAGGTGGTCCGTGTAAGAGAAAGAGAGAAAGAAAGAAAAGAGGAAAGGAGAACAGGAGGAAGGAAGAGGGAGAGGAGGGAGAGGTGGTGTGGAGCGGGGAGGCGGAGCGGGGATTGGGCGGGGCGTGTCGGGGCATGCCCTGACACATAGGGGCGATAGAAGCAAAATCCCCTTTGAGTGAGCTCATCCTGAACTTGAGATAGGAGATCATGAACTAGCATCCTTAGCGGCAAATTCGAGAAGCGAACGACTCGCTGAAAGTTCTGAAGGTGATCCTCCAGGGTGGTGGTGAGTATTTGGTGCCAAATACGAGTTTGTCAAAACTCTGATCTCACTGATCTTACCGATGTTGGTCCCTGGAAATCAGCAGCCTCTCCATGCTAATATAAATTTCAGCCTAAAAAAATTGAATTCGATCATGACCGAGCATATATGGTATGGAGACAAATACCTCGCTGGGGAGTAATAACACCTCAAGAGAATCAATCAAATTCCCAGAAATCCCTAAACGAGATGTCGCTGGTGCAATACTTAGAGATTCATATGGTTGGGCTCGCACTCATCGTGAGTTGGAAGCATTGCGAACAGCAGAATTGTTTCGATGAGAATTCACATTTGTGGTGGAAAATCCTCCTGAAGGGATGCCACGGAATGCAGCAGGAACTGGTGCGACAGAAGCAACTGGCAGGGGTGGAATAGATGATTGGGTGCCAACGAAGTTCGTGTGTAGATCCGAACCAGACACACATGCTGCTGAGCCAGAAGTTTGAGCATGGACTCCTGAAAAAACTGGGAGAGGAGGAGGGGCAGCAAGAGAAGGAAAGTTAATGGGAGGTGCCTGAGGATGCAATGCCCGTGAAGGTGGAAGCGATTGAAGCGATTGCTGGGGCAGAACTGATGACACTGGCCCACTCATGGCTGTGTTCGAAGTTGAAACAGCTCATCCTGAGACCGATTCTTGAGCCCCTCCCGATGGAAAATTAGCACCAAAATTAGGGGCAGCAAGGGGAGGAACATCAGCCCCGAAACAACGAAGGATTTCTGTTGCCTGCTGTAAAACCCTTGCTGAGTTCGGTGACAGATTAGAATTTGTGTTCGACATTCTAAAGGCTGTTGTTGAGTGCACAGATGTGGAGATTTGTAGAGTTTGATAAAAGAGGAATAAGCACAGAGCGACGACAGGCAGCTCGGACTTTGCTGGAAACAATCAGTCTCGGACACTCCACCCCAAATTCGACCCATGGTCCTAATTCTACCTATAAGCAGGACTCCATAGCAGCACAGGCTCAGTTAGATACTAGTATATACAGGTAGAACATGCCCCGCAGTCTTTGGTGAGACAACAGCCGAACGACCACCTGAAAACAAGTACAAAAACCTTTCACCACAGCTGGATTCGAACCAACACTCCCTGCCATCTGCAATCCAGGACCACCAATGCCAGCCATTGAGCTATGGCCTTGCACATGCAATTGCACCAAAGTTATATCCTAGTATGGTTACAGCTGTCTCAGTACAATCAAAACATCATCCTTCCACAATAAGAATATTATTCGACGATGTATAGAAAGCTCATGTGATCCATGTCCAAATATGTTAAGTATGTTAAGTATGTTAAGTGCGAGAAGCGCTAAGTGGAAAGTGCCGATGTTTAAGTGCACAGGACCTCATTTCATGGGTCAGGATTTTTCATCGGTGGATTATTCCATACATATGGAGGATTAGGATGTGATAATGTTCTAATGAAGTGGAGAGCTATAACACATTCGTTTGAGTAATTTTTGACTACTAGCAACTTTTCTTTCAGTTTTAAACCTGAATAATTCACTCATTTACCATTTCAGTCTCATTTTAACTAAATGTCACTAAATAAAATTGGAATAAATCAGCTGAAGGTCTCAGCACAGCCGTATGCATAGTAATGCGAAGTTTGAATTCAGAATCATCGAGTCATAGCAAATTTAATGGTATATATAGGGAATTTGAAATAGGTAACTGTGACAAATACAGCGCAGCCAAGTTCCAATTAACCATTAAAATAGCTTAGGCGAGGGAGGACAATAAGGATTCTAGGCGCAGTCTGGCCGTAGTAGAACCGCAGTTCAGCACAGCAAAAGTGCAGTAGAACTATAGCGTGAAAATTTCATTTTTTATTCAGTTTGAGAAAAATACACTGTAAATAAATCCTGTAAATAGAAGGTAGAGTGTGAAAAAGGAAGGCGACCCAAGGAGTATAAAAGGGAGACCCTTTCTGTGACTTTTCGCCCCCTTAGAGAAGTAAGAAAATAGAGTATTATTTTTCTCAAGCATTTCTGGTTGTCACTCCAGTGCGAAAAAGTGATATACAGTTAAGATTGCCACTGTAGTAAAAGGCAGCAATTAAGGAGAGAAATATTAAGTGGATATTTCAACAGGAGAGCTGGTTAACACTCCAGATTTCAAAGTGTAAACACAAAACAGTTATCTTGCTACTGTTAAAACAAGCAATAAAATAAGACAAAAATAAAACAAACCCAAGGGACACTCCAGACACAATCCAAAGTCATTAACTGAATAGAATCTTTGAAACTTCACCAAGTAGAAGATTAAATTCAAGTTTAAATCCAAATTAAAACAACGCTACACAGAATTACACCTAGACAAATTAAGAAATTTCAATAAAGAAACAGCTCCGCAGGGCTTGGTTTATCTGTAAGTCAATTCCCAGGAACTTTAAAACTAACCCATAAAAATAGAATTAGCCAAAACACTCGGATTGGTACTATATTTACAATAAATAACACTAGTACACTTCCCCATCCTAACTAAAGAACCAGGGAACAGCTTGGTGGTGGTCTCATTTGAACCTCCCAACTGACCTTCCTTTGTTCTCTCCTTCAGTGGCTACCTCCGGGATCTCCTGTGGAGACACCCGGGAAGGTGCGGCTGTGCGCGGAGATGACATGGCCTCCTCCACATGACCCTGACCACATGTATATAATAGCGCCTGGGGTGGGAACAGAAGAAGCAGCCTTCTTCTCAACTTCCCACTTCAGCCTAAGTGGTTGGGGACGCTCACCCTGCGACGGGACCGCCACTATGCATAGCCGACACCTGTCTGTCAGGGCACAGCCCCTGACCCCACACACCCTCAGGTACCCTCCCCCCATTTTCTCCTATTTTTCCCTTCACTGTTCCACAATCCCGCATGCACGCAGACCCAGAACATTCTGGGTGAGTTACTTGCCCAGAAACCACCACAGCCACAACTGTGGGAACTTTCTGGGCGAGCAGCTCACCCAGAATCTTCCCACGGGGGGGTGCCAATTATGGAAAGTCGGCAAAGAGCCGAAAACTGTATAGTTCCCAACTCCCATTTGTAGCAGCTTCACAGGAGGTTGAGAAGGTTACCCTTCTTCTCAACTCATTTCCTGTGAAGGCTGGGGCTAGCCCCCTCAGTGAGTTTGAAGATCTTGGACTGGGACTAGATACCCCAGCGACTAGGAGGACCCCCCTGGGCCCGTCGCGGAACGAGGGCCGGGCCCTGACACTGTCCCATCGAGTCCCTTGTGCTGGGACCTTGCCGCTTTCAGAGCTGTCCCTGACAGTCAGCTAATGTTTAACCCTGTTAGCTCCACTCTGTTCGGCTCCGCCATTTGCGGACCTGTCTTTGCTGTAACCATATATATATCCAACTTGTACATAGGTTACACTTCAGTAATAAAATCGACTAGAGTTATCCCCCTTCAGTTCTGGTTGCCAGTTAGTAAGTTAGGGCATGGACGTGTTACTAGGCACAGCGCTCTTGGCATAAGTCGCTGAGGCCGAAGCCCTCTGCCATGGAGACTTTCCTTCGTCTCAAACCTGGTCTCTGACAAGGATGTTACAATCGCAGTACAAGGTTTGTGGGTTATGTATTCGATAATGAGAAAACCTCTTGGCAATTACCATACATGTCATATGACTTGTATCTATCTAATACAAATGTTATGGCCAAAGGAAGTCCCTTGGAAATCAACAAATCCCCCAGCCAGCACCAAAACCCAGTGGGAAAGCTTGGCATGGGGTTTGGCAGAGAATGAAGTGAGAAGAAGTAAGAAATATCTTACCTGTGTGCCTGGTCTATAGGAGTCTGGGCCCATTTCCATAGCAAGGGGCCTCAAGGTCTGGTTGCCTGTCACGGACCATAAGATTCTCCATTTCCATAACACATCCGCTCCAATACTCACCTTTGGACCTGACACCTTTCCTCTCCTCCACTCCTCTCCCCATTCCTCCCTTCTCTCTCCTCCCTCAGACCCTCTTCTGCTAAACCTCTGCCAAGTTACGACCTTCCACCGCTGTCCCATACCCTGTACCTGGACACTGCTCATGCCTTCACTCCGAGATTCCGTCATAGTTCTGACCTCGGACTTTGACTCCACCTTGGCTTAAGTCCATTGCATTGGTGACCTCATACTACGTAAACACCATCTTTTGTGCTTTCCCCTCATCCTTATTTGGACTGCTGCTTCTCTCCATTCTAGCCAGTTAGTCATCATCCCCACTTCACCTCATCCTCCTGCCCCTCTGGGCTTCGCCCTCCCTATCTCCTTTCGGATGCACCACAGGTTCTGCCCTATGACCTTCGGTACTGCTCCACTTCCATCATCCCTTTGTTCCCATTTGGATGCCTTTGTTCTGTTTCGGACCCCTTTTGATTTCCTTGTGCTTTTGTCTCCCTATTATATACAGGCACTTGTACATACTCATTTTGGACCTTCAGTCTAAAATCAACCTGAAATGCCCCTAGAGACTTCCTGCTTGCTGCCTCTGAAATTAAGGACCAAATGGAAAACAGCAATGGCACAGCACTCTGCATGAGTCGCTGAGGCCAAGGTCCCTCCTTGCTAAGTCTCCAGTTCCCCTCTGGAATCATCCACCCTTGCCCAGTTCTAACAGTCATTAGCTCTGCTCCACTCGGTCCTGCTATTCATGGGCCCGCCCTCACTGTAACTATATATACTTAACTTGTAGATAGGTTACACCCCATGATAAAATCAACTAGAGTTGATCCCCCTTTTAGTTCTCGCTGCCAGTAAGTAAATTAGGGCATGGACGTGTAACTAGGCACAGCGCTCCTGGTCTGAGTCACTGAGGCTGAAGCCCTCCACCATGGAGACATCTCCTTCTGGTCTCTAACACTATCTACAAGTTATGTATATATAGTTACATAGAGGGCAGGCCCATGAATGGCAGGACCAAGTGGAGCGGAGCTAATGGAGTTACATGTTAGATGACTGAATATTACCGACAAGTCGGGTTATGGGGTTAGTGGAGTGGTGGGCCATAACCCAGAAACAGAAAGGAGGGATCAGCCCAAAGGTAGGCCTGCAGGGCAAGCAAGTGAATTGCCAAGCAGAGGTGGGGGTGCACTAGCAGATGTCAGAGCTGTCCAGAGGACTTTGGGACTCCGTACTTAGGGAGGCATAGGTAATATATTGGATTGAGGGGGTGGTGACCATTGAGGGAGTTGGAGGTGATTGTGGAATACGGAGGCTCTGAGGTTAGTGATGAAGGAGCAGAGGTAGTGGAGGATGATGGCCATGGATGGATATGACAGGTGCATTGTACTTCATCCTTTGCACACTTCATAATGTGGAGACAGGTTGCAAAGGGCAGTGTTACAGGAATGGGTTCCAGGGAACCCAACCTGGACCGTTCAGCTCACAGACAGAGGTGGCTGTGTAGGGAGAGCTGAAGGGTGTCCTGATGGGGAACATGATTCCATTAGGAGGGGTCCATGGCTGCATAGTGGGAACTTGGCACTCGAAGAGCATTCCACAGTCAAGGGCCATTGGGGCTCACTGAGAGAGTGGCCTATGGGTTGGTTAACAGTAACTTAGAGCATACTGGCAGTGAATGGGATGGGGGCTCCTTGAGGGAGCCACCTGATGA